AGGGGGGAGGGGGGTGGGGGGGTGCTTGAATTTGGCACGACCATTCAGAAAATGGTCGTTAAAGATATATTTTAGTTTGCAAAAGTAACTAAGAGACCTCTAAATAATAAGGAAACTTTATATTAGCCACCAAAAAGAAAAAATTGACTTCTAATTTTGTCATTAAAATATAGTGACTATATAATTCTTTATACTTGAGTAATAATACATTTTAAAATATCATCAATATTTTATATATTGATATTGATTACTGATACTAATACTAACGTTGAATTAATTGATTTTTATATTGATTAATTGATAATTATATAGATTATTATTGATATTGTTACTGATACTGATACTATTATTGATACTATGACTGTAACTGACAGATTAATGTGAGCTGAATAAATGATAAGATTGAATGAAATTGATTTAGTGCTAAAGATCGACTAACTAATTGATTTATTAGAGTTTATAATGGAAGAAAGAAATAGAACTGATGATGTATGATTAATATATATAAATAATTATTAAATATTAGAAAATCGATATGAGATATATTTGATGCATATATTTTTTTACATGATAATATAGACATTGATCTCTTTTATGTTGCGCATTGATTTCAACTATATAGATTTTTTATTACTTGTTGGGCTAATGGGCTCATTACACAATTTTATATATTTTAGGAAAGGTTAAGATCATATGATATGAGGCTTCAGACAACATGAATATATATATATATATATATATATTATATATAATATATATAATAATATTATATTATATATTAATAAAGAAATTGGTAAGCTCTAGTTAAATGACTAAAATAAAAATTACATGCAATTTTTTAAAATATAAATCAGGGTGTGACACTTTAAGAGATAGTCCATGACCAATATCTGTTTCTTATAAATTCTAAGGTTGATGCCATAAATTCTACGGAATTCCCATATACACTAAAGATGTTATTTCATATACGTTGAATGGACTTCCAGCATCATATCATACATTACCGCCATATACACCAATCTACATCCTTGCTCTGTAGTGAAGAGCTTATATTGGTTGTTGAAGCTCTGTGTGAATGAAAAATTATTACGTCTAATAAAATACCGAGCATACCGAGTGTATATGAGCGCGGTACCGGACACTTGAGTGACGTGGCATTTTTGTTATTCGTCTCCTGGATGGCTAGTGTTCATTACGTCGTTTATATTAATCACGAAGGAAGAAGAATCCTATGATTGGAGCCTTGACAAGCATGCATATAACTATATATATATATATATATTATATATATATATATAAGTATATAATTATATATACATTAAGAAATTGGTAAGCTCTAGTTTGAATGACCTAAAATAAAAATATATGCAAATTCTTCAATTATAGATCTCTGCGGTGTGACACTATAAGAGATATGTCCATGACCAATAATCTGTTTCTTATAAATCTATAAGGTTGATGCCATAAATTCTACATAAACTTCCATATACACCAGAAGATCGTTATTTTATATACGTTGAATGGACTCCTGCATTATATCATACATTCAAACCCGCCATAATACCAAACTACATTGGTCTGTAGTGACAGAGATTACATTGGTTGTTGAAGCTCTGCCTGATACTCACCTTCCTGAATTGTTTTGAATCTTCAAGAAAGCTCTCAATGCATATCGGTCAGGTCGTGGCAGATACATACCTCTTTACACATATCATGGAAGACTAGGGCTTCAAAGGGTGGAAGAAATAATTAAGCTCATGGTGGTCGTAGAGGAACATTTCTATTGAATGTCAGATCTCTTAAAAATGGGTTCATTCTTTCAGTTTTGTCATATCAAACCACCAAACTCAACCATTCACAGCATTGGCTGCTCCGAATTCACAACTTATTTCTACTGATTGATTAACTTAAACCTCAAATACAGTTGTAGCGTACATGGGCACAACTTTGCTTATTGGTGCATCTGTCAGGATTTTATCCCTACCCCCACACGTAAGCTCTTTACTATTTTGTTTCACTACTTAAAACATAACACGTTCTATATGTTAATCAGCTAACTTCACAACAAAAATATATTTTAATTCTTATTTCTTCCCATTATTTTTCAAATAAAGGCTTCGACAAGACAATCGGACTCTTATTTCAAAGTTCCAACAATAATGGGTTATATACACCGCCAACAAAATTGGAGATTGTTGAACGCAAGCAATGAATCACATTATTGAAACTACTCCCACCTTGCTTTTAGATGAAACTCTATCTCCCCGCTGTCTTCCTTCACCTATTACTACCTGCACCTCCTTCCATCTCCCATAGAATATCCTGATGCTACACTTGGCAAAAACAGTTAATCTCAAACCAAAACTAATCTTCAGACTTCATCATCATTCTACTTACCCATTGATTCTTACATGTTGTACTATTGCTGTTATAATTCACCTCCTCTTTATTAATGAAAAGCGCAAGATCAAACTTTTTGTAATCTATTTGATCTAAGTGGATGATACATGGGCAATAAAATTCTGCTTCTTGCTCAGCACTGCTAATCAATTTGCGCTTGTCCAGATTTTCAGCTGAAATACTGGGTCCATTAGCTACTTTCTTGCCTACAGGTCATCTCTATCAGCACTGGTATACTTCTTCATCAACACAACTATGTGAGCTATTATTTTTAAAGGCTGGAATGATGAATTTTTGCAAGCCCACATCACGCCAGTCCTGCCAGCAAGCACCTGTTTTAGCTTCAATCTGAAAGACTCCATTTATCAGGACCCAATCCTGTACCATCACATCATGTTGGTCATTACAATACTTAACTTAACTCGCTACTACTTATGATTTAATCTGTGTGTCAACACATGCATTCTTCTCAAATTCACGCACGTCATTCATACTTTAATATTATTCTAAGACTAAATTCAAGGTGCCTTGAAGATTTGGACTACCTATCTACTCGAGCAACTTTGTCCATCCTACTTTGCAAGATGTCGATTGGGCAAGAGTATAAAATTGATCGCAAATCATATACATGTACTGTATTGTTTCTTGAACTGGCTCACATTATTCTTGGCCACAAACCCACAAGAAGCAACTACTGTTAGCTCCTCGTCATAGAAGCAGATACTTATTGGCATAAGAAAACAGCCTAAAGATTTTCATATGGACACTTGAGCTCCCTCTCCCAAATTACTTGACAATATTTCAACAATCTCTCCTCGAAGCAATCATTTTTCATATGAAACTGTATATAGACTTGAAATATTAAATTATATTACCTTGCTTACTTACATATAATTGTCGAATATCATTTCATTATCTAGAGATAAATTACTTGATTATCAACTTAGCTGTCAATTTGAGTGTGCCTGATTAAGTAGTATGCTCCTCACCATATTTAATATAGATAACAATCATTTTCAAGCTATGTTTGTTGTCCACAATCTTTGTTCCTGCAGCAATTTTCCGAGAACAAGAACACTTACACCCCTCGCTTTATAAAACTTCTCGTTTACTATATGATCAATCGAATGTTCTATATTGCTCATGTCATTGTATTGTTATATATGCACTGTATTTCATAGAAGAAGTAATGAGAAAAACCAGAAACCCATATAGACTTATCCTGTAGATTCCCCTGTATGGATCATATTTCATATTTCTTGTAATATTAAAAACTACACAAACAAGCCAGTGAGTCGAGCCAGCAACGCAGAGACGATGAGCCAAGGTGCAATGGAGAAGACTGATAGCCACTTTGAGCTGAATTGTGCTTGTGCTTATGGGAGAAGCACCTAAAACTCTTCGAAGAACAGATCCCTCTGTTATCAGGGAACTGGCTTTCTACCATATGTGTGGA